GGGGGGGGGGGGGGGGGGGGACACACACGCACCCACCCAACGGTGACGGGGAGGAAGATGATGGAGCCACCCACCACCCTGAAGGAACCCAAGCCAGAGGAAGCCATCCGAGGTCCTCCAGGAGGAGGAGAACCTTGAGGAACCCACTCCAGAACCCTCCAAGGTCCTCCAGATGGAGGAGATCCTGGAGAACCCATCGCAGAAGAACCTTCCAAGGTCCTCCAGATGGAAGAGAACCTTGAGGAACCAACCCAGGACCCTCCAAGGTCCTCCAGATGGAGGAACCCCTTGAGGAACCCACCCCAGGATCCTTCAAGGTCCTCCAGGTGAAGGAGAACCTTGAGGAACCCACCCCAGGACCCTCCAAGGTCCTCCAGGTGGAGGAGAACCTTGAGGAACCCACCCCAGGACCCTCCAAGGTCCTCCAGGTGGAGGAGACCCTTGAGGAACCCACTCCAGGACCCTCCAAGGTCCTCCAGGTGGAGGAGACCCTTGAGGAACCCACTCCAGGACCCTCCAAGGTCCTCCAGATGGAGAAGAACCTTGAGGAACCAACCCAGGACCCTCCAAGGTCCTCCAGATGGAGGAAAACCTGGAGAACCCACCCCAGAAGAACCTTCCAAGGTCCTCCAGGTGGAGAAGAACCTTGAGGAACCAACCCAGGACCCTCCAAGGTTCTCCAGATGGAAGAGAACCTTGAGGAACCCAACCCAGGACCCTCCAAGGTCCTCCAGGTGGAGGAGACCCTTGAGGAACCCACCCCAGAACCCTCCAAGGTCCTCCAGGTGGAGGAGATCTTTGAGGAACCCACCCCAGGAGAAGCCCCAGACCCTCCCTCCCACCTCCAGGTTCTCCAGATGGAGGAGAACCTTGAGGAACCCACTCCAGAACCCTCCAACGTTCTCCAGATGAAGGAGATCCTGGAGAACCCATCCCAGAAGAACCTTCCAAGGTCCTCCAGGTGGAGGAGAACCTTGAGGAACCCCACCCCGGTGGGGAGAGACCACCCCTCAAGCCCTGGTGGCCACCCCCCAAAAAACCCACCTTGAGGTAGCCCTGCAAGGTCTTGACTTGCTTCTGGGCCTCGGCGGCCACCCGGTTGGCGTGACCCAACTGGAGCTCCATCTCGTTGAGGTCGCCCTCCATCTTCTTCTTCAGCCTGAGGGCCTCGTTGCGGCTGCGGGTCTCGGCGTCCAACGAGGTCTGGAGAGAGTCCACCACCCGGAGGTGGTTGCGCTTGGCCTGTTCCATCTCCTCGTCCTTCTCGGCCAGTTTGCGCTCGTAGTCGGCCTTCACCTGGTTGAACTCCAACTGGGCCCTCAAGATCTTCCCCTCCTCGTGCTCCAGGGAGGCCTTGGAGGGGACAAAAAAAGGGGGGGGGGACCTTGAGGACCTCGGAGGAGACCGGGAGAACTTGGGGCCACCAGGAGAACTTGAAGCCACCAGAACTTGGGGCTACCAGAACTTGGGGCCACCAGGAGAACCTGGAGCCACCACAAGACCTTGGGGCCACCACAAGACCTTGGGGCCACCAGGAGAACCTGGAGCCACCACAAGACCTTGGAGCCTCCACAAGACCTTGGAGCCACCAGGAGAACTTGGGGCCACCACAAGACCTTGGAGCCACCACAAGACCTTGGGGCCACCAGGAGAACTTGAAGGCACCACAAGACCTTGGGGCCACCACAAGACCTTGGAGCCACCAAGAGAGCTTGGGGCCACCAAGAGAGCTTGGGGCCACCAGGAGAACCTGGAGCCACCAGGAGAACTTGGGGCCACCGGGAGAACTTGGGGCCACCGGGAGAACTTGGGGCCACCAGGAGAACTTGAAGCCACCAGAACTTGGAGCTACCAGAACTTGGGGCCACCAAGAGAACTTGGGGCCACCACAAGACCTTGGGGCCACCAGGAGAACTTGAAGGCACCACAAGACCTTGGGGCCACCACAAGACCTTGGAGCCACCAAGAGAGCTTGGGGCCACCAAGAGAACTTGGAGCTTCGAGGAGAACCTGGAGCTACCAGGAGAACCTGGAGCCACCAAGAGAACCTGGAGCCACCAGGAGAACTTGGGGCCACCACAAGACCTTGGGGCCACCAGGAGAACCTGGAGCCACCGGGAGAACTTGGGGCCACCGGGAGAACTTGGGGCTTCCAAGAGAACTTGGGGCCACCAGGAGAACTTGGAGCCACCAGGAGAACTTGGAGCCACCAGGAGAACTTGGGGCCACCACAAGACCTTGGAGCCACCAAGAGAGCTTGGGGCCACCAAGAGAACCTGGGGCTACCAAGACAACCTGGGGCCACCAGGAGAACTTGAAGCCACGAGAACTTGGGGCCACCAGGAGAACTTGGGGCCACCAGGAGAACTTGGGGCCACCAGGAGAACTTGGAGCCACCAGGAGAACTTGGGGCCACCAGGAGAACCTGGAGCCACCACAAGACCTTGGGGCCACCAGAAGAACTTGGGGCCACCAGGAGAACTTGGGGCCACCAGGAGAACTTGGGGCCACCACAAGACCTTGGGGCCACCAGGAGAACTTGAAGGCACCACAAGACCTTGGGGCCACCACAAGACCTTGGAGCCACCACAAGACCTTGGGGCCACCAGGAGAACTTGAAGGCACCACAAGACCTTGGGGCCACCACAAGACCTTGGAGCCACCACAAGACCTTGGGGCCACCAGGAGAACTTGAAGGCACCACAAGACCTTGGGGCCACCACAAGACCTTGGAGCCACCACAAGACCTTGGGGCCACCAGGAGAACTTGAAGGCACCACAAGACCTTGGGGCCACCACAAGACCTTGGAGCCACCAAGAGAGCTTGGGGCCACCAAGAGAACTTGGAGCTTCGAGGAGAACCTGGAGCTACCAGGAGAACCTGGAGCCACCAAGAGAACCTGGAGCCACCAGGAGAACTTGGGGCCACCACAAGACCTTGGGGCCACCAGGAGAACCTGGAGCCACCGGGAGAACTTGGGGCCACCGGGAGAACTTGGGGCTTCCAAGAGAACTTGGGGCCACCAGGAGAACTTGGAGCCACCAGGAGAACTTGGAGCCACCAGGAGAACTTGGGGCCACCACAAGACCTTGGAGCCACCAAGAGAGCTTGGGGCCACCAAGAGAACCTGGGGCTACCAAGACAACCTGGGGCCACCAGGAGAACTTGAAGCCACCAGAACTTGGAGCCACCAGGAGAACTTGGGGCCACCAGGAGAACCTGGAGCCACCACAAGACCTTGGGGCCACCAGAAGAACTTGGGGCCACCAGGAGAACTTGGGGCCACCAGGAGAACTTGGGGCCACCACAAGACCTTGGGGCCACCAGGAGAACCTGAAGCCACCACAAGACCTTGGGGCCACCACAAGACCTTGGAGCCACCTGGAGAACCTGGAGCCACCAGGAGAACTTGGGGCTTCCAAGAGAACTTGGGGCCACCAGGAGAACCTGGGGCCACCTCCAGGGGTTGGTTGGACCCACCTCAGCCTCCTCCAGAGCAGCCTGAAGCTCCAGCTTCTCAGCGTCCAGCTGCTTCCGCACCTTCTCCAGCTCGTGGATGGTCTTGTGACCGGCCCCCAGCTGCTCCGTCAGGTCCGAGATCTCCTCTGGCCCCACCAGGAGAAGGTCCCATCAGTCCCCAGGGGGTCGGAGCGTGAAAGAATTCCCTTGCTCCGTGCAGCACAACCCTGCGAAAAACCAGATGAAAGGAGTCGCAGCTGGACAACAAAGCCTAGGGCTTTCTGCAAAGGCCCCTCTGCACGCCGTAAAAGCCCCAACATCTGACTCGCTTGGGTTTTACAAGGCTACAAGAGTGGGAAAATAGGCATAGAAATCGACAACATCCCACGGCATTAAAGAGTTTCCTGTCCTATTCCTTCCCTCCGCCGCCGGCCCGTCGGGATCCACCACCCCCCACCTCCTCCTCCTCCTCTTCCTCCACCCCAAGGAGCTCCTGGAAGCTCCAGTGGAAGGTGGAGCTTCGTTGGCCATCGTTCTTGACCGTTGGCCATCGTTGACCATTGACCATCGTTGACCATCGTTGACCATTGGCCATTGTTGACCATCGTTGACCATTGGCCATCGTTGACCATTGGTCATCATTGACCATTGTTGACCATTGGTCATCATTGACCATTGACCACCATTGACCATTGGCCATCGTTAACCATTGACCATCATTGACCATCATTGACCATTGGCCATCGTTGACCATCGTTGACCATTGGCCATCATTGACCGTTGACCATCGTTGACCATCGTTGACCATCGTTGACCATTGACCATCGTTGACCATCGTTGACCATTGGCCATCATTGACCATCATTGACCATTGGCCATCGTTGACCGTTGACCATCATTGACCATTGGCCATCGTTGACCATTGACCATCGTTGACCGTTGGTCATCGTTGACCATTGGTCATCGTTGACCATTGACTATCATTGACCATCATTGACCATCATTGACCATTGACCATCGTTGACCGTTGACCATCATTGACCATTGACCATCGTTGACCGTTGCCCACCGTTGCCCATCGG